CCCAGAAATATTTCTTTATTTCTGGCTGCAGTATGCATATATTAGTTCAGATAAACTAAAGTTTGTGTCCCTATACTAGTGTCTCTCAGGAAAAACTATTCTCTTTTTCCAGAGCTTCTTTAGACTTCTGTTTGCACATTAGGAATAAAGTAATTATAGTACTCTTAATAGATTGCTCTTAGTATTTCTCAGATCTTTGTTTTCTAGCTCTAAAGTGTCAGTTGCAAAATTCTCCTTGCTTATTACCACTTCCACCTAGTTACCCTACCATTGCTTTCAATGTAGCCTACCTAAAACTGAATGTGCCACCTTACACAAAACACAAAGATGCTTCTTTCTTTACCTACTTTTGGCTTTGGAGTCTGCATGCATGTCCTTGAATCACTGCCAGTGTTCTTTCTATGTCACCTGTGTAAAATACCCTACTTCAAGGATGCTGTAGATTCTGCTGTGGCTCATGTGCTCAGTATAATCATATAATAATACTGAAATGCTAAAGGTAGGGAGCCACGTGAATTTTTTTTTTTAATGTGTAGCAGTGAAGTTTAGCCGGTTTACCAATACAGTGATAGGCTTAGTAGTGGTCACCAGTTTTGGCAAAACCAGTGAGTTTAGAGTGTCTGAATATAGAATGTCTCTAAGGATTTGTGTTTTTTGTTTTTTTTTTTTTAAGGATACATCTGAATTCTCTAGAGTTTGTCATATGTGCAGCTTCTCAGCCTGTATTTCCGCAGTTTAACAAAAGAGTTGTCCCATGAGCTTTTGCACTGCCCAGAGTTTGGACATAGAGAAGTTTCGCTGTAGTTACAGAATTCCTATAACTTATCTCCAGAATTCTAGGAGTAGAGTTTCGTATTAGTGGCTACAGCTCCTTTTCCACAGCAGGTATTATTAACACCAAGCCATTTTGATAAGAGTATTTATTTAATAATTTAAAATCTTGAAAATTATACTTGAAAGGTAATTAAAATAACTTGAAGCATGATTTATCTTTATCAAAACCTCACAGATCTTTCTTGAGTTCAGTTCTTCAGAATATCTGATGTCTTTAAAGCTGGGGTATTTCCCCACAGAAAATGATTGTGGGCACTATCCAGCATTTTAATCCACAGGTCCAATCTATAATACCAGTAGGACTCTTGGGTGTAATTCATATTATATTTCACTCAGTCTCTGACTCACGAACTCTCTCTCAGGCCTTGGGTTATGGTGGTGTGGGTTGTGCTTCTGTGCTGTAGTTGAAATCACAGCCTGCTTCAGTGCTCAGTTCTTTACACTGTGAGTGGGGGTCTAAGGGCTGCATTGGGATAGAGCAGTGGTTTCCAAAATGTGGTGTGCGGAACCCTAGGGGAGACTTTCAGGAGGTTTGGGAGGACTAGACTATTTTCATAATAATGCTAAGATTTATTTTCCTTTTTCTCTGTAATGATATTTACACAGATGGTGTAAAAACAGAAGAGGGTGGGATTAAAGCTGTTGGTGCCTTAGCATGAATCAAGTCAGTGACATCAAACTATACCAGTAATCATTGTATTCTTCACTGTCATTCACTTGCAGTTAAAAAAAACACAAACCAACACATCAGTTTCATTTAAACAATTTTTTAAAGGATTTTACGGATTTATTTGAGACAAAATACCATGATGAAGCTGTAAATAGTACCAGTTGTATCAAACCTTGATCCTTGAGTACATGTTTTAATATTCTGTGTTATGAAATTGGTATGTTTACTGAAAGCATTTCTGCTGTGCAGTAAAGACTGATGGTGTTCTTGAAGAAAAACACTTGTGTAATTGTTTGAGTGGTGAAATGAACTAGCTGAGTTTTTTCCCCTAGGACATCAGTTTTCTCTAAAGAATAGCCGATAGCCAAAGCATGGCTATTCAAACTTGAGTGTTTGGAAAACATTTTCTTTCTTTCTTTCTTTTTTTTTTTAAGATTTTCTTTATTTGACAGAAAGAGAGATCACAAGTAGGCAGAGAGGCAGACAGAGAGAGAGGGGGAAGCAGGCTCCCTGCTGAACAGAGGGCCCGATGTGGGGCTTGATCCCAGGACCCTGAGACCATGACCTGAGCCGAAAGCAGAGGCTTAACCACTGAGCCCCCCAGGTGCCCTTGGAAAACATTTTCTTAAAAGCAGATGAAGTAAGCTTGTTACTTCAAGGAAAACAGTTAACAGTGTTTATTGTCTATGATAAAATTCAGGCTTTTAGGGAGAAGTTCTGAATTTTGGAAATCCTGTATCTACATAGTGAGCTTGGTAGCTTTTCGCTATTTATAGTATTCTGATGAGATTGATGTTGATTTTAATGAATGAGGTTTTCTAATAAAGTATCATGAAATATGTCAGCATTTGGGAGATCTGCTTAATCCAGTGAGCCAATATTTTCCAAATAACTACTGCATGATGTTACAGAATCATGCATGGGACCCATTCAAAGTGCAGGATTGGTCAGTGGATTTTAATATAACTGTTACGGTTTCAGATTCCCCATTGCAACTGATCTTTATGAAATAACCACCTGTTCAGTTTTGGTGTAGTAACAGAGAAAATTCGGTGAGGTTCAAAGCTTCTTCATTTATCAAGTAAAATTTTGCAACAGATTCAGTGCACAAGTAGGTATGAAAATTTAGCTGATTTCAAATAAACTGAACATTGAAAGAATTTGTAAAAAAATAAAACATTGATACTCTGGTCACTAATTTTTCTGTTTTGGAAAATTAATTATTTTTAATAAAGTGCAATTTGTGTTAACATGTGGTAGAATTATTTTTAAGGTATAAAAATTTTTCAGTTTTAATTTCTAATATGGTAAATATTGATACATATACATATAACCAATGATATGCTGGAGCTGGCTTGTGAGAGCTGATTGCCTGCATCTTTTTCCAACTTTGTGTTCAGTGTCATCTGTTGGTAACCTGAAATCTGCCATAGTCGGGGTTTCACATTACAGAAATCAGCAAACATTTGAAATCAAGGTTCTCTCTTCCCCAACACTGAGTGTTAAACATTTACGGCATCTGACTGGTTATAAATCAAGCAAGAGCTCTTTAAGTCATTAATAATTTTTTAAGAGAGTAGAGGTGTCCTGAGAGACTAAAAAGTTCGAGAATTATCTGTGTGGCTGAAGGCGTGCCTTTTGGTAATTGGTCCACAAAGAGGTGGATGCCTTTTTATTGTTTATACAGATGTATCTTTTGTGCTGCTTTGTCATTTCTAGAACAAATCCTTCCGGTTTGTTTTTTTTTTTAACTTCTGGTTGTTAAATGTATTTGTTCTATGATGGCATAATCTTTTCTTTCCCCTAAAATCTGAGGTAGACAATAATGCTCTAGGGGCAGGTGGGCTGAACTTGCGCATTGGGCTATATGTTGGGTGTGTCTGCCCTTTTCTGTCTATTACTCAGGCCTAGCTCAAGCTGTGGCTTCTACACAAAGCCTGTACGTATTGTTCAGACCCATTCTGTTCTGTACTTCCTTGACTTTCATGGCCCGTACAGTGGAGCAATTCGTTCTATAGTGCTTGGTGTGCTATTGTTTCTTAGGTGTTAGTTTTACCAATTTTATTTCTACCCTAGTGCACCTAGTACAATGCTCATCACATAGGTTCTCTTGCATGGATGAAAGATTTTTACTTTTGGATTATCAAAGAAGTTTGCTTTCTAAGGAAATGAGCTTATAAATAAATCTTATTATTTATACAATTATTTATTTAAGCCCAGTTTTTAATAATTGTTTTTAAGTGTAAGTAGATTGGAAATCATTGGTGATTCTTAAAGTGAGGTCCTATACAGAGGGTTCCTTCAAAGTTTGTTTTAGACCTTGTGGTTCTACTACCATTCATGGCAGAAACTGGTAGCTTATTTCACTTATTTCATTTCCAAAGTCTTTGACTCTTTTAAGTAAGTCATAATGAATAGTGAGTGAAACAGTAAAATGAGGCAAAGTTTATAAGATTACACTGGCCTGCCTATAGGATTGAGTTGTTGACTAATTAGAAAACTTGGCAGGTTTTGAATCCAGGGAGGGTGGAAGTACTGTGTTTTGCTGATAGAGATCTCTGTTGAAACTACTCAGGGGTACTGGGAGATGGTTGTATTTTCTTTGTGCAAGCTAAGTGATGGTTTTGGCCCTTTCTGTACATGCTGGAGGTAGCAGGGAGGAAAACTGTAAGAGGGACATCCCAGATCTAAGGCATGCACTTTCTCTGGATCACACACACTAAGAGCATGAGAAATCCTGGAATTCCTCTGGCCTGTGCCTTTTTTGTGATTATGGGGGCATAAAAGTATGAGTTTCATTAGTATAGAGACAAGGCATTAGCTTGTCTCTGGAGTAGTACCAGAATATCCTATTTTGAGCATTTCCTTTTTTTTTTTTTTTTTTTTTTAAGATTTTATTTATTTATTTGACAGAGAGATCACAAGTAGGCAGAGAGAGAGAGAGAGAGAGAGGAGGAAGCAGGCTCTCCGTCGAGCAGAGAGCCCGATGCGGGACTCGATCCCAGGACCCTGAGATCATGACCTGAGCTGAAGGCAGAGGCTTAACCCACTGAGCCACCCAGGCGCCCTATTTTGAGCATTTCATTTATTAAAAAATAATTCACCATATTTAAGTTCTGTCTCCAATTTCTCTTAGGAAGTTGAAGAGGGTAATTTATACTTTGGCCTAAATAAGGATTCACTGTTAATAGTCGTGAGGTCGTAGTGAGGTAGTTTAACTGCTTTAGAACTTTGGGCTTGGAACATTCTTAGCCATCGAAGCATGGGAACCGAAAGTGAGGAGCATGGGTTCTTTAATATCTATCACATCAGAGAATGACTGTTCCAGGACAGTAACCACCTCCTAATGGTAAGTACCCCGTGAGCTTGTCATTTCTTAGAAGCAGGTGAAAGGAAGGAAGAAATGGCCAGTCATAATAGTGAATGGTATTTCTTTAAAAACAAAACAAAACAGAAAATGGCCAGCCTTAATCCTGAATGATGATCATTTTTGCAGGTTTCTGTAGCTGGATCAGGCACCGGAAGAGGCTCCCCAGCTGTAACTCTAGTACAGTTACCTTCGGGCCAAACTGTACATGTCCAGGGAGTAATTCAGACACCACAGCCATCGGTTATTCAGTCACCACAAATACAAACTGTTCAGGTTAGCTGCCTTCCTGGATGATTTGTCTTTGACTCTCTTCTGTTTTTTTTGTTTTGTTTTTTTTTTCCTTTTATTAATTCATGTATCATCTTTTTCTTTGTGTAGCTTTTATGCTCAAGTCTTTTTATTAGAAATTTGGGGGAATTTCCATTTCCTATGCAAAGTGCATTGTGTCCTGCTAAATACATGGATTTGACTTAAGAGTTGCAGTTTTGTTGTTTGCTCTTAATTTACAGGATGAGTAATTGCCAGATGTGTAATTCTTTGTGGCATTGCTCTGTGCTCAGACTCAGATTTATTTAGCAAAGCTCTCCAATGGTGCTTAAAAATGTTTTGAGGATTCTTTGAAGATGCCTGATAAAAATAGTAATATAAAGATTACTGTTTTCATAAGTACTCACATTAGTAAGTAGGTGGAAGTTTATTTTTAATTCAATATCTATAACTTGTAAGAACGATAGGATATTATTGTTACCTTGGTATTATGCTTCTAATCATCATCCCCTCTCAGATAAACCTTGTTTTTGTTTTTGTTTTTTTTTAATTTTATTTATTTATTTGACAGGGACAGATCACAAGTAGGCAGAGAGGCAGGCAGACAGAGAGAGAGAGGGAAGCAGGCTCCCTGCTGAGCAGAGAGCCCGATGTGGGACTCGATCCCAGGACCCTGAGATCATGACCTGAGCCGAAGGCAGCGGCTTAACCCACTGAGCCACCCAGGCGCCCCAAACCTTGGTTTTTGTAGACATGATTATTATGGTTGTGATCCAGAGATCTGCTTTTAAGTTTGTCATCAGAGTTGATTACAAATCCTTAACATTTCTTGAAGCTAAAACATTTTTTGCATATTGATGCATATTGATCTATTGAGATGTAAATTAAGTATGAATTTTTTAGTTTTTATTTTAATTCCAGTTAGTTAACACATGGTGTGATATTAGTTTTAGGTGTACAATGTAGTGATTCAGCACTTCCAACACAACACCCGGATCTCATCACAGCAAGTGTGCTCCTTACTCTCCATCACCTATGTCACCCATCCCCCTCCATCCCTCCCTTCTGGTGACCGTCACTTATTCCCTATAATTAAGAGTCTGTTTTTTGGGTTGTCTCTCTCTCTCTCCCTTTTTTCCCCTTTGCTTGTTTTGTTTCATAAATTCCATATGAGTGAAATCATGTGGCTTTTGTCTTTCTCTGACTAACTTATTTAGCTTTTCATTATTATACTCCCAAGTGCTCTCCATGTTGTGGCAAATGGCAGTGTTTCATTCTTTTTATGGTTGAGTAATATTCCATTGTATGTATAGACCTCATCTTTATCCATTCATCACTTATTGGACATTTGGGCCGCTTCCACAATTTAGCTATTGTAAATAATGCTGCTATAAACATAGAGGTGCATGTATCCCTTTGAATTAGTGTTTTTATATTCTTTGGGTAAATATCCAGTAGCATGATTGCTAGATTGTAGGGTAATTCTATTTTCCAATTTTTGAGGAATCTTCACACTGTTTTCAGAGTGACCACACCAGTTTGCATTCCCACCAACAGTGTACCAGGGTTCCTTTTTCTCCACATCCTTGTCCACATTTGTTGTTTCTTTTGTTGATTTTAGTCATTCTGATGGGTGTAAGTATGTATGCATTTTTTAAAGCATAATTTTCTTGGTTATTGAATTTACTTCTGTTTTCTTTTTAGGTCAGTTATTATCCTTTAGATGTTGAAATTATTTGAACATAGCTGATGACAAAAAGATTGGTGAGGAAAACATAGGTGTGCATACATAATCAGTCTTGTCCCTTGCATATTTGAGTACGGTTTATTGAAGAATAAGGTTTCAACATGGTATTAGAAGTAATAAATACGCATGCATTAAAAGCTTAGTTAGCTTTGCTGCACAAGTGTCTTTTTAAAAGAGTAAGAATCATTCTTAGCATTGTTTCTTTTTATCAAAATGACCCTTGGTTCCAAGAGTCTGACTCTTTCTGACCCTAATTATAGAACAAGAAAATCCTTCCACTCTCCTTTTTGAATTAGGACTTTTATTGGGATGCAGATATTTCTGCTCTAAATATTTCTGGCTGCTATTGGAAGAAAGTATTATCTTATATTCAGTAGGCTTTTTTGGTTTTTTTTAAGTAGGTGATTTAATTATCTTTGGTAGAGGTAAGTGCCAGTGGATATTGTCTTAGAATTCCTGCTTGTTGAACAATGGTTGTCTCTTAATCGATCTACATGAACTTTAGCTATCACTTTTCTAAAGTGGGTAAAATAGTATCCTACCTCACATACGGGCTTTGTTACGAGTATATGAGAGATGTGTGAAAGCCTAGTGTAAAGTGATACTGTTTGGTGGTGACATATGATTGTTGATTGCCATAACATTTTTTCTAAATTCTGTTCACTGGTGCCTATGCTTATGTGTAGGGTGCCCGTGACCAGAGATGCATGGTCATATGTGTAAGTGAACATTATGTACACCAGTGTGCTTCAAGAAGTATATATTCCTGGGGCGCCTGGGTGGCTCAGTGGGTTAAAGCCTCTGCCTTCAGCTCAGGTCATGATCTCAGGGTCCTGGGATCGAGCCCCATATCGGGCTCCTTGCTCAGCGGGGAGCCTGCTTCCCCCCCCCCCCCCCCCCCGCCTGCCTCTCTTCCTCCTTGTGATCTCTCTCTCTGTCAAAAAAATAAATAAAATCTTAAAAAAAAAAAAAAAGAAGTATATATTCCTGCTTGCGTTGTTAACATTTAAACAAGTTCTTTTGATTTTGCCCAAATCGGATTCTCCTGTAATTGTAATATGAAGAAAAGTGAGTTTTATAAACTCAAAACTACCCTAGGCCCTGAATGATAATGGCAAGGTATATTGAGAGCCATCACGTTATTGTAGGGATTCATTATTTTAGTTTGCAGACTTCCCTTAAAATCCTGTGATTATTATGTGACTTGAAAAATCATGCTTAAAACTCTGATCTTTCTTTTAAGGAGAAATTCCTTATTTTGACCTTCAAGATTTACCACCATCAAGCCCCAACTGACTTCTTGTCCTATAAATCCTAACTTTAATCAGGCTTGTTTATTTGTTTGCTTCTTTGAATCTATCTAATGTCTAGTTTGAAGACCCAGCTCAAGTCAGCTGTGCTATTATAAAGAGGGCAGTGAAGTCTAGACGTTTTATTTTGCCTGTCACTAGCTCACTCAATCCCCACTGGGTTTCTAAGTGTAGGTTTAGGGTGGAGATCTTAAGTCTTAGGTATCTTATATGTAGTCCTTTGCTGTGAAACTTCACTGGCCATGCCAACCACCTTCATTTGCATTTCTGTAGTATTTATTAACTGAGCCATTCCTGTCCACACATACCTGCTCTACAACTGAAATACGTGTGTGTCTTTGCTCCCTTTCCTAAGGCAGGTGTGCGCTACAGTAGTGCGGGTTCAATGTGTTCTGTTGCTGGACGCTTTCCCAGCACCTGGCATCTAGACCCTTAAGCACCGTTTTTTGAATGAAGGAGATCATATATTTTATGATGCATTTCAGAAACTCTTGTATTATAGGTAGCAACAATTGCAGAGACAGATGAGTCTGCAGAATCAGAAGGTGTAATTGATTCTCATAAACGTAGAGAAATCCTTTCACGAAGACCCTCTTATAGGTAAGTTATTTAAGTAAGTTTCCTACTCTAAAGATACCTTTTCCAAAAAGGGAGAATAATTATGTATCAAATAATTACGTATCAAACCAAGTCCATAATAGTTTCTCTGTTTTAAATTTCATTCACGTAACTTGATTATTTCTGTTGTCAAATTATGTTTTAGAAAAATACTGAATGAACTTTCCTCTGATGTGCCTGGTGTTCCCAAGATTGAAGAAGAAAAGTCAGAGGAAGAAGGAACGCCACCTAACATCGCTACCATGGCAGTACCGACTAGCATATATCAGACTAGCACGGGGCAATACAGTATGTATGCTGCAATTCGCTATGTTACAGTGCTAGCTTTAAGTCTTCTCTAGTTACATTGAAGCAACTTGAGTTTGGCATTCAATTGTTCCATTTAAAAATGCATCGTAATATCTAAACTGTGTGTATCATAGAATGAAAAGTACATGTTAAAGAAGTGAGAGATTTGTACTGAGACCTGTCATATACTTTTGAAAAGTTAAAGTATTTTTACTGAATATAGAAGAAAAATTGGGGGTAAAAATAAAGGGAGGGTTTGCCTATTTATATGTTTATATTCATGTCTGATAAAAATTTAAAACTTACTGTTTTTTGTTATCTTTATAAGATGCATGCAAACATAAGATATAAATGTCTGTATTTCATTCTTGTTGGCTTTTGTTACCAACAATTACATATTATGCTTACTAATCTAAAAGAGGTACATAATGTTTCCTAAATTGTTTTAAATGTAATTATGTTTTCACTAGTCTGTTAATTTGTGCTGCAGCTTTTTCTAGAAGAGAATGGAAAAATGATTTATTTTTTTAAAAGTACAGCAATTGGACAGATCATTTTATTTGAAATTTTAAACATCAAAAGCTGTAAATAAACAGATACGTTCACATTTAGTCTTGTGCATTTTAATGGGCTGTTAATCCTGTGCTTTTTGCTCTAATTAAAGCACTGATTTTTTTTTTCTCAAATCAAGTACATTTGATATACATAAAAATGCTTTAGTAAAAAAAACAAGAGCTAGGAAGAAAAAAAGGAGAAAGAAAAGCTAGGAAAAGGACAGAAAAAAGATTTTAAAATAAAAGCTATTTAGGTAATGGAATATATGTGGTATTAAATACTGTGTTGGTTTAAATATGGTGGTAAGATTTTTAGATATGTTTTCTGTTTTCCCTTTATAAAAACAGTAATAGAAAACTCTCAAGTCTTTAAGTTGTGGCTGTTAAAGCAAATGATACTCTTTAATATATGGGAAGACCTTATGTAGTCATTAGTTTTTTAGAGTTTTTTATTTTGGTGGTGGTAGATTTGCAGTATTAAACAAATTCTCATTTGGCAATTCTGGTTCTTCAGATAGCTCCTACCATGACACCTAGCAGAACTGGGGTATAATTTGTCCACAACCTCTATGGGGTGCTGAATGAACAGGTCCAAAGTCAATGTTAGGAAAAGGAAACTCACCACTGCCTGTGTCAAGAGTTAGACCTTGAGGTTTCACTGTAATTTTTTTTTTTTTTAATTACTTCTCTGATTTATACACCTTTCTGTCTGGCCCAGTGAGAATAGATGGTGGGAGTTTTAGAAGTGTAAATCAGAGTTTGCCAGCTGGCCCAGTGAGAATAGATGGTGGGAGTTTTAGAAGTGTAAATCAGAGTTTGCCAGCTGGCATGGTTCTCTAGGGCAACACGAAGGTACACGAGTGTGAGTGCCTCATGCTCTCAGTCCCTGGAGTGGCTGGGCAGGGCTTGGAGCTGCTGGAAACTCCTCATTGTTCAGGTCTGATCTAGAGCAGTGGGCTGTACACATACTATCATTTTCTATTTGTGGTGTGATAGGGAAAAGGTTGGAAATTACTAATGAAATAATGCTAAGACATCTTAAAGTTTGGGGTGATCTAAGATGCTTTCATCTTAAACATTTCTTTGACATATCCCAATGCTGCTTAGGAATTTATAGAAGTGGTGATCTCTTTATAAGTGATATGGAAAGGGATGATGTAGGTTATTTTGCCTAGGTTATTAGTTGAAAATTTGAAATTGTGAAAGCATTGGGTTGCAAGAACATTGAAGCTAGGGATGGTCTGGGGAAGGCTCCGAGTCCTACCATTCACCAACTGGATCAGATAGAGAAGCTTTATTTTCCCATCTCGGGGTCTTTCAAGTGGGAATAATACTAAAATTTGCCAAACTCTGGGGTTTGCATGAGGACAAAAGGAAATAAGAGGGAAAAGTGGTAGAAAACAGACATGCCACTTTTGACACAAAACAGAAATGTAAGCCAGTGTCTCATACGTGAACTTTCCCTCCAGGTAGCAACAAAGCCTGTATTTCCTGTGCTCTGAGTGCACCCACTTGCAGCCGGGGCCTGGCAGGAGACTGATGTCACTGTGGGTGCAGGGTGGTGGGAGTAGAGTCAGGAGTTACGGTTGAGAACAGCAAATCTAAAGTTTAGAAATTAGATGTTTATCTGTTTGCCCCGTTAGAGGTCACAGACTGTCTCTTATTGAGGTTTCTTAATTTAGACCCATACAATATGATCCTGGCAGGTATTAAAAGATGTGATAATTTTGTATGTGCTCTCTGCAGGTAGAAATTGCCATTTTTATTGCTTCATGAAAAGTGGTAACTGCCTTTGCAGTTAAAATGCATCTCTTAGACGTTTAGTGACACTTGCTTATGTTGATATTTCTTTCTTCTGAAAGGTGAATACTAACATTAAAAGTGTTTCAAAGACATTTACTTTCATTGGAGGGTAAATGTATATTTACACATAAACAAGATCCATTTTCATTAATCAGATTTCTTAGTAGGAATCTTAACAGATATTAATGCTTTAATGTTGCTCCCTGGGTATCTAAAAAACGAAATAATTATTGGTGTCCTTTGGTGTTTAGACTAGAGAAGTTTACTTTATTAGAATTTCTGGAGATTATTTTGGGTTATTTACATGTACCTGTTTTTGAGACCCTCTCATAACCTTTTACTGTAAAATGTGTTTTTTGTAGGTTCAATTCTTTCTTCAACTTTTATTTATGGATGACTTTCCCCCAGGCAGGCTTTGCTTCTTTTTTTTTTTTTCCCAAAGATTATTATTTTAGATTACTTATTTTTAATTTACTATAATGAGATAGTTGGAGTTAAAAACAAAAAAAACTAAAGGACTTTGTGTGTCAAAGTTGAAGAAATAAAATAAAAATGAGCGTACTCGGGCTTTCTCATATTTTTTAATAGTCGGAAGCTTTTGACAGAAGTTCGCCTTACTTTTTTAAGTTATTTTTTTTAATCACAGAAACTAAGAAGTGAAAGTTAGAATAGTCTACTCCCTGGGATTAGTAAAATACTTTTAAATGGACAGGGATTCATTATTGCAACACCAAGAAAGTCAGCTACACTTGCAAAATCTTTTCTGGAAGTACAGATCTTAGGGAGAGGATTGCTGTAGGCCAATTAAGTCATTCTGGCCAAAGAAAATTTGTTTTGTCTCAAGAGAATATGTCTGAAAGAGAGCAGTTCTAATAATCTCAGAATTAGCAAAGAATGTTGCTTGTTGCATAAGACATTTAAGATCTACATTAAATGGGAATGAATTTCATAAACATAGTAAAAGTAACTAAAGGAATTTAAATGTTTGCAGTTTCTTAATTCATTAAATTTTCTCTAAAAGCAAAGTCTTTTTTTTTTTTTTTGATTCCTCACTCTGCTATACCTGACCTCTTCCCTTACCAGTTAAGGACTATTGCCCAAGATTATTTTTTTTCTAAATGTCCCTTGTCTCTTTGCTTGTCCCTACTTTATTTTACTAGGAACCTTGTTAGAATGAGTCTCTGTTAACCCATCTTTACTGGAATTCTTATACACTAAAGGTAAGTGGGTGACTCCAAAATCCACCATTATAAAAAGAGATCTATGTGAACTTTGTGGGCTACTTAAAGAATTCAGAATTCTCAGGAGACTCCTATGAATAAACACCATAAAAGGAATTTGCATGATAGGTGTTTAGCATTCTAAAGTAAATGCAGTTGCATTTGTAGTTCTTAGTAATGACTTTGCTTACATTCTTCCAAGGTAACTTTCAAAGCAAACATAGAAGGTATCTGGTTAATATAAATCTGGCTTTTTAATCTTGGTGTTGCTATTCTTGTTACAGCATGAGGCTATTTTAGTCTCCCTTCAGCTGTATGAACCTCTTGGTTTTTAAGGCACAGGTACTCACAGGTTCTGTTCCGTGCTCCCTTTTAAAAATTTAAATCTGAGAATTCACTGGCATAAGGTCTGCTGTTCTTTATAAAGTTAATTAAGTGAATTTTATTTATGAATTTCTTTTGGAATTTGGAATAAAGAGGATTTTAAATTATCATTAAACATTTAATGTTTATGTGTTTGAATTAGCTCATATATTCAGGCTTAGGATTACAAAGATATTAGTATCAAATGAAAAGTCAGATGAAATCTTAATTTAAATAAATTCTACTCCTTCCTCATTTGGTCATGAACTCTTATCTTTTCTTCTTTCTTTATTGATCATACAAAATTTTAAAATATTACTCTTTTAATTAAAAGAAGTTTTTTGCCAAAATTCTCAAATTTTCATCCCACACAAAATGTTTTCTTACTTTTATGATATTAATAGCTCTGGGAAAGGAGTGCTCAATGACAGTGAGTAGAGAAGTAACAGATTTTTTAAATACAGTTTTGTAAACTAGGAATTTTTAAAGAATTTATTGTCTACACTAGTTGATATGAGGTCATCCTGGTTACTGTGGTGTATGGTAAGTTGTGGATGGAGAAACTGTACTTGGGTTAATACTGATTCGAAACTCAGTACCTTGACTATATAAGGATGTATATAGAGACATTTTTGTAACCACTAAAACCAACTAGTAGAAAAATGCTTAATAAATTAGTGATTTACACTCTGTCTATACAAACTCTTAACATAGGGTCAGTGTGTCCAACATTCAAACTGTGGGTATAGAGTGACCTATTTAGTTATGGGGAATAGCTTACCTGAGACTTAAGAGGGAAAAAAGTTAGCTAACTCCCAGAACAACTAGGACAACAGAGCCAAACCTCTACCCACCATTATGATGAGCAGTAATACACTAACAGGCTTGAATCTATTAATATGGACGTTGAAGTAGAATTTAATTGATTATATAATCTAGTTCAATTTTAATTCAATTTAGATTATCAAACTAATGTTATTAAGGATTGCTTAAAAGAGGAAAATTGGTATGTATATAAGCTAAAATAAAGACACTTTTACTTCTGTTTGCATCCCAGTCTTCATAGACCAGTATGGACTCTTCATTGTGATCAGCAGTGAGGCCATAGGTAGAAACTTTTATACCTCAGTTGCATGTGTCAGTCTAAGAAATCATTAAAAAAGCCTAGGTCTGCAAAGTAAAATTGGTAGGAAATACAATGGTATCTTATCTTCATTGGTTACTAATGGCCTCCATATGGGCCAATCATTTTAATTAAAAATGGTTAGCCAGATATGATGTCTGGGATTTGTTTTAGAATACTCCAGACCAAAAAAAAAAAAAAAAAAAAAAAGTTTGAGAATGTGTGGGCAAGGAAGGAAAATAGAGGACACAAAATTTTTTCTACTTTTATGTTTACTAGCAAATTTCCATAAGTTTAAAAAAAGAATTAGGTAAAACAAAAGATGTGACTAAAGTCATTCAGTTAATTTCATCTTAATTTCCCCACTATTTATCTTGATATGTGTTTACTGAAAACACATATTTTGCTATCCTTGAATATTTTGTAACCTGAATAGTTTCCTCTTCAAATCTTGAATACTCACACACAGAGAGAGACCTAATTCTAGTATCCTGAAGCATTGGGAAATCTTGTTTATTTTCAAATGAGAGGTAACATTTTGAATGGTTAGGTCCTCTGTCATTTGATAATGTCAAAATCAAAAGTACCTTTGGTATAAAAAAGAAGAGCTAGGTTAAAGTACAAGACTTATCAGTAGAAATGTTTTCCCCTAGTGCTAGCTTGTGTGTGTGTGTGTGTGTGTGTGTGTGTGTGTGTGTGTGTGTGCGCGCGCGCGCGTGTGTGTGTGTAGCTTTTGTTTTCCAAAATTTCCAGAAAATAAAATGATGAGAGGAACAGATTTTTTTTTTTTAAGATTTTATTTACTTAACAGACAGAGATCACAAGTAGGCAGAGAGGCAGGCAGAGAGAGAGAGGGAGAGAGAGAAGGAAGAAGCAGGCTTCCTGCTAAGCTGAGAGCCTGATGCAGGGCTCGATCCCAGGACCCTGAGATCATGACCTGAGCTAAAGGCAGAGGCTTTAACCCACTGAGCCACCCAGGCGCCCTGAGAGGAAGAGATTCTTTACATATCAATGTTTCACAGCGTGAAAGCAAAGAAGTTTATTTGGAACAATGAGGAAACATTATTGAAAAAAATAAAAGGTGGAAAAAAAAGAAAATATGAAAAGAGAAAAAGTAATGGTCCCTGTTATCTAGCTATTTCATGTTCTATCCTTGGCAGCAACTACCTTGGATTGTTTACCAGTCCCAAATCTTGTCAATTGTATTGGCACTGAAAATTAAGGTCTGTAATTAGAATTTGAAACCATACCTTATTTAACTCTTCTAGATTCACAAGTAGCTCAAGTTGTTTATGATGTAGTCTGTACTGAAGAAATGGTAGCCATTCATCATTTATTGAGTGCTTATTATATGCTGTACTTTGTGTTTCTTCCACATCGTGATTACACTGCCTGTGCCTGCTCCTTCTAAAGCATGATTTCTGTAACACCAAACTCATTATCAACTGAAAGCACACATTCAGATAAATGATAACATATGAAATAAATTCATGTCCAGTCATGAAGATCTGAGGAAGCAATATCTCTTCTCTTTCATACTTCTAAGAAAGTTAGGTTTCTTCCAGACCCTTTTGTTATAAAGGGTGAATCCTGAGACCCTTGAAATCTTGTTTTTAAAATGTGTACAGAATATGATGCTCTATGTGAGCCAGATAAAGAAATACATAAATTACATAAATTTCTCAACCTCAGCATCCTTGATATTATGAACTGATTCTTCAGTTTCTGTCAACCCTATCCTAATGGTGGCCTGTCAAAGAACAAAAAAACAGAGAATGAATCTTGCAGAAATCTTTTTTAAATGTTAACCATCTTTCTATGTTAGTCCTCAGGTCGAGGAACTAAAGATTTGTTGCTACTCTTCCCAAGTAGTTTGTAAGTTTATGCAATCAGGTGTTCACCTAAATGGGCCTTTGCTTTGATACTGTTGAAAACGTTAAGGAATAAGTCAGAAATATTTAACATATATTTTGACACTACTGTAACATTCCTTTAAGGCATTTATGTTGATTTATATGTGTTGTGTTATTCTGATGTGTCATTGTCTTCATTGTAAATCTAATGAGCTAGTTATATGGGATTTTTTTTGGAGAGCATAGCCTTTGGTTCCACTTAAACCATAGAGTCATAATATTTATGTTAAAGTATAACGAACTCTCAGATATTTTAAACAGTGCTTATTTGTCTATTAGAGTGAAATTTAAAAACAAAACATTTGATCAGTTGTTCTTTGGGAACTTTTTTTGGTTAATATGTTAACTTTTAAACGTGACTGGCAAGTCTCAGTGTTTAGAGGAATTCTGCCTCCTATTTGTTGCCATGAGCTGCAGTTATTCAAGACACTTGATAGAGGTAAATATTGTAGCACAGATTCTTTCAGTATTTTTATATTAAAAATTTATATATATATGTGTGTGTGTGTGTATATATATATATGTATATATATATATATATATATATATATAAACATATATATTTATATATTTTAAGATCCCTTGCAACTTAATGTTTTATATTTCAGGATTTTCCTGACATAGTCAAATGGTAAAGGTTACAGTTTTGTAGACTTAAGCTTTAAAACCAAAATATATAGTAATATATTCCATTAAGAGCTACTTTCTTCTGATGATAAATTAAAAAAGTAGTTGGCTGAATGAAGGTGTAAATTCATTGTAATTGTGATGCTCAAGGAATTTTACTGACTACTCTTTAAATATTAGAAGAATGCTATTTATCTATAACTAAAAACATCTGAGAGAATGGAGAAAACCAAGAAGCTGGTCTTCCTCCCTGTCCTCATCTCCACTCTTCCTCTTAAATAATTTAGCTGGATGGATACCAAGGAGGAGACAAACTCCATGGGTTCTATGTATTTCAAATAATTCTGAATATAAGATATTTTCCAGTGTCTATGAGCTTTTTCAGAGTGTTGTCCCATGAAGAAGGATCTCCTTATCAATTCAGCATAGAGAAATAAGGGTAAACTGACAATGAGAAGCATTGGTAATTAACAGAGCCACAGTGTATTCTTCCAATATGGGATTATTACAAGTGAATCTTGAAATTCTCTAATGTTTCTTTTCTTTTTCTGTTAAGTTGCTATAGCCCAAGGTGGAACAATCCAGATTTCTAACCCAGGATCTGATGGTGTTCAGGGACTGCAGGCATTAACAATGACAAATTCAGGAGCTCCTCCGCCAGGTGCTACAATTGTACAGTATGCAGCACAGTCAGCTGATGGCACACAGCAGTTCTTTGTCCCAGGCAGCCAGGTTGTTGTTCAAGGTATATTTTATTAATCTCGTACATTTAGAATACCTATGCATCACTATATCACACCAGTTAGTGGGAATTTTATAGTTTCCTGAAATATACAGGAGGCAGATTTGGGGGGAGGCACTTATTTTAGTACATTCAACAACACGTTAAATTACACGATTTTCACTTTTTAGCAGGTTTTATTGGCTGTAAAGAAAGGTTCTGTTCCGAATAGCATGATGGGAAAAAGACTTGGGACATGTGAATGAACTTTTTAATTAAATAAATAATCTTCATTTGGGGGTTATAAATGTACCTAATACATATTTTTTATTACCTGGTCTATGAAGATTTAAATATCCAGTGTGTGGTGCACTGAGTTGGGGGTTTTTCCTTCAAATCTAATTTCTAGACATTTCATTTCAAAAAAATGCTTTTTTTTTTTTTTTTCCCCCTCTCTAGACCATTCTAGTATATTTAAATGTCAGGTGGAAGTAGTAAAATGAAACATTTGGGATGTAACCCTAAGCTTTTAGGGTAACCTAGGATCTCAATACAATTCAAGTTATATGTTATTTTAATTTCATTCAGTTTTGCTCATAGTAACTATAATGTGTTTAATACAACTTGCAAAAATCCTATGTTTTCATTTAACTCTATTCCTCTTAGCATTTGCTTAGGATGTTTGGTGTAGCACTAATTTTAAAGAGAATAATATTTGTTTTTTTGGTTTGAAAGTCTTGCAAGTTTGGAAAAAAGCAGATTCTGAATGATGATTCTCTTGATACTAGCTTTACTCTTAGGTATTTTGGGGGTTAATGTGGACTATAATAAAAATGTATGAAGAACTGAGTGGTAGTTCCACTCCATTTATGGAGTAAAACAAATTCATAGTACATACCTAATACTTTGGGTTTTTTTTAATTGTAAAATCAAAGCCACCTGCTTTATTTCCCCTGATTCTCATGAACCCTCTATGTCTAAATAAATCACCGTAAAGAATCCTTATTTCTTCTAATTTATCTTTTTTTATATGGAAATCCACTGTAAACCTGATACTTTCACCAGAAGAGCTTTAAAAATTTTTTTTCTATTTTGCATAGATAATAGACTAATGAGTTCTGTGCTTGTGGGATTTTATTTAGGAACTCTTTTTTCTTCTGTAAGTCACAAAGATATTTTCCTATAATAATTATATTAGCTTTATAGTTTTACCTTTCACATTTTTGTCCTCAGTCCACCAGAGTTTCACCTTGATATATAGTATTAGGTGGAATTCATTTTTCTTCACATATGGAGCCAGTTTTCCCCTACTCATTGTTTGTCTTTTCCCCATTAATTTATGGGGCTAAAAATCTTAATTATACAGTGGATTCTCGTGTATACTTGGATCTGTCTCAAAACTCTCTATTCTGTACTATTGGTCTCCTTTTTTTTTCTTTTTTTAAGATTTATTTATTTTAGAGAGAAAGAGAGTAGGAGGGAGGGGCAGAGGGAGAAAGAGTTTTAAGTAGACTCTGTGCTGAGCACAGAGGCCCTCGCAGAGCTCAGTCCCATGACCCTGAGATCATGATCTGAGCTGAAACCAAGAGAGGGACACTTAACTGACTGTACCATCCAAATGCCCCCATATTGGTCTCCTTTTCTATATGCCAGTAGTACCATATAGGTTTGTTATCTCACAGGACGAGTTTCCCTTTTTTATTAAAAAAAAAAAAAAAATTCTTTCAGTGCTGATATAGCTTGGTGAACCATTATTCGTCAGTATGCATTTAGAATAAATTTGAGTTTCTAAATAACAACAATATAATAATAAAACCAATAATGAGGTTGCTTTTAATGTATAGATTAATTTAGGGGAAACGGAAGTCCTTTTTTAAATTGAGGTATAACTGGCATATGGCAATTATATTAGTTTCAAGTGTACAACATAATGATTTGATATTCATTTACACACTAAGTAATTACCACAATAAATCAGTAAGTCTCGTTAACATCCACCACCACATTATGATGATTGGTTTTTTCTTATGAGAGATCTTTTAAGACTTACTCTCTTAGCAACTTTCAAACAGAGAGCACAGTATTAACTACAGGCACTGTGCTGTATCTCATCACATCCCCAGGACTTAGTTTGTAACTGGAAGTTTGTTCCTTTTGATAACCACCCATTTTGTACATTCCCTCCCTGTCAGCACAGCCTCCCCATCTCTGGCAGCCACTCCTCTGTTCTCTGTATCACACTCAGGTCCCAGGGTGGTGGTTGTTGAAGATTCCACTTGTAAGTGCAATCATATGGTATTTGTCTTTTCTCTGACTCACTTCACTTAGCATAATGCCCTCAAGTTCCACCCATGTTGTCACAAATGGCATGATTTCCTTCTTTTTTATAGTCTAATAATAGGTGTATTTGTGTGTTTGTGTTTGTGCACACACTGCATTTTCTTTACCTATTCACCTATCAGTGGACACTCCAGTTGATTCCAGACCTTGGCTGTTGTAGATAATGCTGCTGTGAATATGGGAATGTGTTTATCTTTTCAGTTAGTATTTGTTTTTGTTTGTTTATTTGTTTTATAAATATACAGTAGTGTGATTGCTGAATCATAGGGTAGTTTTGTTTTTTTTTAAGATTTTATTTATTTATTTGACAGAGAGATCACAAGTAGAGAGGCAGGCAGAGAGAGGGGGGAAGCAGGCTCCCCGCTGAGCAGAGAGCCCGATGCGGGGCTCAATCCCAGGACCCTGAGATCATGACCTGAGCCGTAGGCAGAGGCTTAACCCACTGAGCCACCTGGCACTCTGGGTATCTCTATTTTTAATTTATTGAGGAACCTCCATGTTGTTTGCCATTGTGGCTGCACCAATTTACATTCCTACGAATCGTGTATAAGGGTGAGGAAGAACTGAGGTCTTTATAATGTTAAATTGACCTGTTCCAAACTGTAGAATGTCTCATTTATTTGGATCTTATTTTAACTTTTTAGTAGTTTAAAATTTTTCCTGTGAAAGTACTTCATATTTTGTTAAGTTCCTAAATGCTTGAAGGTTTTTGTTGCTATTATGAGCAATACATTTTCTAGTTGTTGCTGTTGTAGAGAAATATTACTGACTTGTTAAAATGTATTTTATTTATTAATCTTGCTAAACTGAATTTACTTCTAATAATGTGCTCATTCTTTGTAAATCTATCTGTGTTGGTATGTGGATGTTTTATCAAACACAAGTAAGGTGTTTGTTTCTTCCCTTCCAATCTTGATTCCCTGTGTTTTCTTTTAATTTTTCTTTCCTTGCCTTTTCTTTTCCTTTCCTTTTCTCCTCTTCTTAAAATAATGGTGGGTAGGAGTTCTACTTCTATGTTAAATACAGGGTCAATGGGCATTCTTGTGTCACTTACTCGGTCACCTTCCCTCCTGTCATTCCATTCACAGGTCACGGGATTTCTTTGCCAGTTCTCAGTCCTTCTCTTGATTGATCCCTCAGCAGTATTTAAACACTGTTGACTTCTGCTTCCTTCGCTTCCCATCATGATACTGTGTTCTTACTAGTTTTTTCTTTTCTCTCTCCTACATGTCTTTCAGTCTCCTTGTTTGGTCTAATCTTCCTCTGCTCATCTCTTTACTGTTCGTCGGTGTTTGTCAAGATCGTGTCCTGGGCCCTCTTCCATCTGACTGGCGCACTCTCCCTGGCTGACTTCATCCCTGCGCATTGGTTGTCAGTGCACTCTGACCATGCCCCTGACTCCCATCTAACTGCTTAGAAGTCCCACACACATCTCTTGACTCTTTCAGTCCAAAGTCACATCCATTTCCCCCACCCTAGTTCTCTTTTTATTTACCCTATTTTGGTAATGGACTCCTGTCCAACCTGTTGCTTCAGGCTAAGAACCTGTGTGTCATCTCTCCTTCCTCCCAGCTAAACCACTCATCCTTCCACTCCTCTCCACTCCTGCTGTCCAATCCTACTTACTGTCATGCCCTCCAACCGGTCATCCCTTCTGCTGGGTGGCTGCCCTGGAGCTGGTAGTGGTGGAGAAGTTCCCTGATCTTCCTAATCATGCCAGAGGTGGCATATCTCTTCTTGGTCTGGTTTTTTGAGAATTGTTCCTGAAAGCTCAGGCTCCCTTTTTTCATCCCTCCCAGTAATCCTGGGAGCTACTAATATTTCTTAAAAACAAATGTCTCTACCTCCAACATTTTCTTTTTTTCTGTTATACTCAATTCTGCAGTTCAGAATGGTATCTCTAAAATTCACATCTAACTGTGTCAGCCTCTTATTCAGTGAAGTCTTGTTACTTGTTATGCAAAATCCAAAACAAATTTTTTTTTAAGATTTTACTTACTCATTTTTCAGAGAGAGCAGTGAGAGAGAGTACAAGTAAAGGGAGCTGCAGGCAGAGGTAGAAGCAGGCTCCCTGCTGGGCAAGGAGCCTAGGACCCTGGGGCATGACCTGAGCTGAAAGCAGACACTTTTAATCAACTGAGCCACCCACGCGTCCCTTAGTCCAAAATCTTTAACATGGCCCAAATCTTTGCTTGATCTAGGCCTTGCCACCTTTACTAGACTTTTCCTCTCAACTTCTCCCTCTTTTGTAATGCAGCTCTGTGCAAGATTTCATTTCCTGTTCTATGCCGCACCCTCTTTTCCTTTCTAGGGCCTCACACTAAGCTATTTGCCCTGACAGGAACACTTATGTCAGTCATTTACATTATTTAGGCTTCATCTTAGTACTTCCTCCAGGAAGCCTTCCCTGATCCTGCAGATCTGGTTTAGATAACCTCCTGTCAGTTCCTACTGTACCTCCTTAGGGTATGTGTGACATGCCTAGATAACTTCTGTTTGGGTAGAGATCCTTAGTATCTGGCACAGTTCCTGGCGCATGATAGATGTTTAATAAAACCATTTATTAAATGAAACCCTTAGGTATGGCTGAGATGGAAGAGAGTCTGTCATGGAGCCTCTGTTTGGGACTGATGTCTAGGTTGCTCTCCACACTTTCTTACATAGCCAGATGTCTTCAATTCATG